TCAGTACCAAAAAAAGAAGTTACACATTTTAATCAGATCTATCCTAGAGGAAATAATGGCTAATTTGAGGAAGTCAAAAGTAAATTTAGGGGCTGGGGATTTAGCTCAGCGGCAAAAGCGCCTGCCTGGCAAGCGCAAGGTCGTGAGTTCGGTTCCCGGTACCGAAGGGAAAAAAAAAAAAAAAAGAAAAGAAAAGGGGGGCTGGGAATATAGCTCCATGGCTCAAATGCTTGACTAGCAAGCACAAGGTCATGAGTTTGATTCTCAGTAGCAAAGTAGATACATAAAAATAAAAAATGAAAAGGGGCTGAGGCTATACCTCAGTGGTAGAATGCCCCTATGTTCCACCCCTTGGTTCAGCCCCCAGTACAAAAAAATTTTTTCAGGGGCTGGGGATAAAGCTCAGGGGCATACACACCTGCCTGGCAATCGCAAGGTCCTGAGTTTGATTCCCAGTACCAAAAAAAAAAGACCAAAAAATTTTTTTCAGGAAAGCACAAGCTATACTGAAGTAGCTGCCTACAGTCCCAGGGTAGGATACATCTCTGCTCTAGGGCATTTGTTCTTGGTCCCTCTACCAATCCTAATAGATGCCACTTTACTGGTCATTAGGATCACTCTGTGTAGCAGGATTTAAACCCAAAAGCATAGTTTAATTTGTTTTTGGGGTTTGTTTGTTTGTTTGTTTTGTCTCCTTTGAGACAGGGTCTCACTATGTAGTTCAGGCTGGACTTGAACTCACTTTGTAGCCCAGGCTGGTCTTGAACTCACAACGATCCTCCTGCCTCAGCCTCCCCAGTGCTGGGATTACAGGTGTGTACCACCACTCCCAGCCCAGCATGGTTTAATTAAAGTTGTAAGAACTATCCCCTTAAGCCAACAACCAGAGCTGGGCTCTATAAATCTAGTCTTTGCTCTGTTTAGAAACGCTAAGAATGGTCTCTTTCCTCCCCAGAGTTCTTTTTCACTTTTTTAGGAATATGATTTAGGGGCCAGCTCTGTGGTCTGGAATCTGACAGGTTTGTGAAAAAGCTCACTTCAGAAAGACCTGCTGTTCTAACCTGAAGCTTATGCTGGGGGACTTTCCTCAGAGCCCTACACCAGTCTGCCTCCTGCAGCCCACTGCCATACAGGCTTCTCCACCGGCAGCACAGCCTCGCCATCAGCACTGTGGGCAGCCAGGCTCTCAGTCCCTGCTGGGTGGGGACAGCGGCCAGCTGACAGAGAGTCCCAGAGCAAATACATGCACCATGTTTCTGACGACGAGTGAGGGTATTTACTGGGAATTGCTGAAGGCCTCGAACCAGGTTGTGGGATGTCTTCTTCAAAGTACAAAGGAGTTTCTAGCAAGCAATAGCACATGGAGAAATACTAAGATTGCACTGTATTGTTCTGGCCTCTAAAGCCATAGACATATTTCTGCTGGATACTGTTCTGGCCATTCTGATGATATTTACTTTTTTTTGTTTGTTTGTTTTTGTTTTTTTGAGACAGGGTCTCACTATGCAGTTCAGGCTGGCTTTTAACTCACTTTGTAGCCCAGGCTGGCCTCAAACTTGCAATGATCTTCCTGCCTCAGCCTCCCAAGTGCTGGGATTACAGGCATGCACCACTACACCTGGCGATATTTACTCTTTAATGGCATTGTGCCCTTTCTGTCACGTTGCTGTCTATAATACCCTGCTCTCACTGACCACCTCCTCATTCCCCATTATGGCAAAATCCCACTCATCTATCACGGGCCCATCTCATGTCACTTCCCCTATAAAGTCTTCCTTGACAATAACCACCGACTCTGCTAACGTCTTCCTCAGCAACCACAGCACTCTATAGAAACGGATCGGGTAGCTTGGTCACACTATCTTCTAGTATGTAGCTTACCCTGCAGATCACACTTTCTCCAGTGTGCCAGGTCATTCTGGTTTCTGAAACCTCTGTATTCTCTCAGCAGGCACTCAGTAGTGGGTGATGATAAGATGAGTCTAGATTGGCTTGTTCTTGGTTCTTAAATCCTCTGGTCTTAGAGGGACCAAGTTAGAAGCTGAAATGAAAAAGGACAGTCCTAAAGAAAGAAATATAGGGCCTGCCCAGGCAGTCAGAAGCCAGGCCCCAGTGCTGATGTGAAAATAGTTACTAGAAAATAGCATACAAGCTGGGTCAGAGTAAGTTTAAGACTTTCCTTGATCTTCTTTTTATCAGAACAGGAAAAGAAAACCCCAGCAAGAGTGGCAGAAGACTGTAGCCTCTGACACCACTGATGTCCAGAAACAGGGTAGGTTCTAGGAAATTCATATTTATTCTTCTTTAATAATCATCCGTCAGCCGGGCTTGGGGGCAGACGCCTGTAATCCCAGCACTTGGGAGGCTGAAGCAGGAGGATTGTTGTGAGTTCAAGGCCAGCCTGGGCTACGAAGTGAGCTCAAGGTCAGCCTGAACTGCATAGCGAGACTCTGTCTCAAAAAGATAAAAAAATAAAATAAAATCATCCTTCAATTCCTGGTCACCAACCCCCCCAAAAAAAAACCCATCCCCCACTTTTTTTTTTTTTTTTTGAGACAGGGTCTCACTTTGCAGTTCAGGCTGGCCTTGAGCTCACTTTGTAGCCCAGGCTGGTCTCACTCTTGCAACAATCCTCCTGCCTCAGCTTCCTGAGTGCTGGGATTACAGGAATGTGCCACCATGTCCGGCTACCTGGCTTTATTTTTTATTTTTTGAGTATTTTCTGTACTGGGAATTGAACTCAGGACCTTGCACTTGCCAGGCAGGCGCTTAGGCCACTGAGCTATATCCCTAGCCCCCAATTTTTTGTTTTGTTTTGTTTTTATTTTTGCCTTTTTGAGACAGGGTTTCGCTATGCAGTTCAGGCTGGCCTTGAGCTCACTTTGTAGCCCAGGCTGGTCTCAAACTTGCAGTGATCCTCCTGCCTTAGCCTCCTGAGTGCTGGGATTACAGGCGTGTGCCACCACGCCCGTGGCTACCTGGCTTTAAAGAAATCTTGGGTCCAGAGATATAGCTCAGCCGCACAAGCACCTGCCTGGCAAGCACAAGGTCCTGAGTTCAGTTCCCGGTACCAAAAAACAAACAAAAAAAAAAAACATATCTTAGCCGGGTGTGGTGGTGCACACCTGTAATCCTAGCACTCAGGAGGCTGAGGCAGGAGGATCATTGCGAGTGTGAGGATAGCCTGGGCTACAAAGTGAGCTCAAGTTCAGCCTGAACTGCATAGCGAGACCCTGTCTCAAAAAGACAAAACAAAACAACAAAATAGAAATCTTGGTGTAAGCGTGCTCTTCCATCTCCTACTCACAGGAAAGTACTTCACGGAGGATACCTTTTTCCTACTTGAGTGTTTTCCTTACAGATTCTAAATGGGGACACAACTTGCCAGGGGCAATTGTTCCACCATTGCAGCAGAACAACTCGCCTCCGCCCAAAGAGCTGGGACTCCGTGGCTTCTTTGGGTTTCTAAGGTGAGACAAGCCTCCTCCCCCGACCCTATCACAGAGCCCCAAAACCAGAGCAGAAGTAGGTTCCAGAGCCTGCCTTGCTGCATCTTTCAGGGAAAGGAGAATGGAGAAAAAAGCTGATCACTTGCAGAGATCTCTCAGTTACATCCAATATAGGTGATAGAAATGAGATGGAGAACAAGGGCGCCAGTTGTGAATTTAATAAAGAAGTTATCTTAGTCTTTGCTTGTGACAAGGTCTCACTGTGTAGTCCAGGACAGTTGCGTTTTTTGTTCTGTTTGCCTGTTTTTGAGACAAGGTCTTGCTATGCAGTTCAGGCTGGCCTCGAACTCACAACGATCCTCTGCCTCAGTCTCCCGAGTACTAGGGTTATAGGCATGTACCACCACACGTAGTTGAGTCGGGGCTAGTTTTGAACTTACTGTGTAGCCCAGGATGGTCTCAACCTTGCAATCCTCCTGCCTCAGCCTCTCAAGTGCTGGGATTATAGGTATGCACCACACCTGGCTCTCACTGACTTTTGCACATCTCACCCCCGACCTTGATGTGCCCAGGATAAGGCCTGGTTCCGTAAACATTGCTTGAACAGAAACTATTCCCATTTTACTTGGTTTATTCAGATTATTTGGTTATCAAATCTATTTCCATTCTCCCCTATGAATCTAGGTGGTATCTTCAGAGTCCTTTCTGCAGAGGAGTTAGCAAATCCTTTGTCTATCTAGAACTCAGCCATCCTACTGCAATTCTTAGTCCTTTATTTCCCTCTCCTGAGTGTAATCTAATTTGGGTACCTTCTCAAATGTTGTTCCAGACTTGAATTTCCATTCAGTGGCTCCCTGGAGCAAAATGGCCTGGCTAATGAGGCACTAACGGGAAGCAGGCAGTGGGGAAGGAGACCTCTGGTCTCAGCCTGCTCTGCTCTCCTTCCTGCAGCACTCTCTTTCCGCTCCGGTATTTCTTCAAGAAGAGCAGCCAGTGAGCCGCCTGGATGCAGTGACAGCCACAGAAGAGGGTCTTCTTTTGCGTTGACGCCTCCCAAGCCACCACTCTTCCAGCTCCAGCCTTTTCTTATGACCCCTCAGTCACAGTGCTGATGGCTCCTGACTAGTCCTATGTGGGTTTATCCTGTCCTTTGTTCCTTTATAATAGGGTGGATTTTCCCCTGTTTAAAACACTGGAAAAAGAATGGAACTTTCTAAAATGCTGGAATCCAAGAATTTCACTACCCTGAGGGCCAGCTTAGGTCTTTTGTCTCCAGCACTTAGGATCCTAATGCCAGTAAATTATTTATGAAGAATTATTGATTGCATTTAGTGAAACAGATTGAGAGAGAACAAACTCTTCCCTGAAGATACAGAGACACAATGTATGAATCTTGCCCTGGCACCTACACGGTTACACTGGGTACCTGACCTGGAACCTTGAACTTTGCTGCCAGGGTCCAGGGAATGAGGTTGTGCAAGGCTCACTGCCCTGAGCCCTGCTGCCCCCAAAGAAATGGTCTCTGTCCCAGCCCAGCTTGCTTTGGCCCCAGAGTGTAGCCTCACCATAGAAAACCTGGTTCCAACCTACTTCTCCCTCGGATTCCGTGACATTAACACAGGTTAGTCAGATTCACTGGAAGCCAGCGTGACTGCAGAGAACCAAAAGAATCAATGGAAACTGAGGGGAACTCATTTTAGCTCAGGACAAAGGAACCACTTTTAACCGTTAGAGACATCCAGTACTAGAATGGGCTAACCTGTGAGGTAATGAACCTTTTCCAGAGGTTTACACCAAATCGCCTGTCCGTACCAGAGGGGATGTAGTGAGGAGAGGTTGGGGGTTGGACTACTGAGGTCCCTCTGAGTCCCCTTGCTTGGCTGCCTCTGCTTTGGCAAGGAGAAGAGAAGAGGTAGATGGTAGGAGGAACTGGCAGGGGAAGACCAGAACCTGAGCTGAGGAGGCACCAGAGGGGAAGTCTTAGGATGTGGAGATTGGTTGGAGATTAGCAACATCAGGAAGAATTCCTCTCAAATCCTGTTCACTGCCGGAAGCCACCACCCCAAGCATGGTCTGCTAGCCAAAGTTGCTGAAAGGCACAGCTGCAGAATCTGAAGAGCCGAGTGTCCATCTGGACTAGGGGTCGCTTACAGTGAGGGCTTGGGAAGTTTCTTTCCTCTCTGGTTATTTTCTGAGCTGGAAAACGAGGGGGCAGGTGTGCTTCGCTGTCTGTACGGAACCAGCTAGCTCTGGCACAGGGAGCGGGTCACGAGGCAACAGTCCTGAGTGGGGCTGCCCAGAGCAATCCCAAGCTTCCTTCTGATCTCTGCCCTGCCCTAACCTCTAGCTACTGCCAACTGTGGTTTCTCCCATCTTGCCTCATTGCTGGCCCAAGTGTGATTTAGCACCATGACTGGGCTGCAGATTTGAGCACTACATCAGCCCAGACATTGACTAGCTGTGTGACTTTTTTTTTGTGTGTGACAGGGTCTTCCCAGGTAGTCCAGGATGGCCTTTGTATTCATTATGTAGCCTAGGCTGGCCTTGACCCAGTGGTTATCTTCCTGCCTCAGCCTCCTGAGAACTAGGATTATAGGGGTGCACCACCTCACCCAGTCCTGTGTGACTTTCAGTAACCTTCCTTGCACCTCAGTAGCCTCACCTATAAACTAGAGGTCCCCCAAACAACCAGTAACCTTCCTTGCACCTCAGTAGCCTCACCTATAAAACTAGAGGTCCCCCAAACAACTGGGGTTGACAGTTTCAGGCTCTTTTAGGAACAGGTCCTTGCTATTCCAGGGGCTAGAAGGACCCTGTAGCTTAGACCCCCATTGTGTAGCTGACCATGGCATGAGAAGACTTCTGCTTGATGCTAGACTGGAGGCTCTAACATATCTCATTCCCCCAGGCCACCTGGCTTTGCACCCACCTGTGATTTCCCCAGTCCAGAAAAATCTCCCTTTCCTCTGTAGTCAGTAAGAGACAGGCAGGCTAAGTTTAGTAATTCTAAGGCTGGGGCCGGCAAGGACCTGAACAGGGAGTGTCATGCCCAAGGTCGTGCCCAAGGTCATACAGCAAAGAGGAACCAGGTGACCAAGAGATTTGACCCCTCTTCTCCAGCAGCACACACTCCACCAGGCCCAGAGCGTTTCTCCATGTCTCGCTCCCCTGAGCCAGGGACCGTTGGCAGCTTTTTAGACAGAGGGTAGCAGAAAGCAGCATAGCCCACTCTTTGAGGACCCCGCATCAGAACAGGATCTCCCAGCTAGAAGTGCTCTGAAGCCTCAGGCTGGGAGGCGGCTTCAGAAAGCCAATCTCTAAGAAGGCGTGGCTCCAAAATACCCACTAATAAAACCCTGAGAGCTGCGGCCGGCAATCTGGAGACCAGCAGGAGGCACTGGGGGCCTGCCAGCCATCTCATTGCTGGTGGTTGCTGGCAGACCGGTAAGTTCCCGGAGGCTGGAGGCTGGAGGCCGGAGGCACAGAGGGGAGGGGGTGTGGGTGAGGACCCTGCAGATGCAAACAGGTGGAGGGAGGAATATGTCTGTGGTCCAGAGAGTTCGAGAAGTTCCAGAGGAGAATTATGGGGCAGAGGTTGACACACAAGTCCCATCCAGTGACTCAGGCAGGTAGACATCAGTCAGAGGCAGACCAAGAACACAGTCCCTCTGGACGGCCTCCCCCATCACAAGTACCAAGTGGCCCTGCTTGCTTACTCACCCCGCAGGCCCTTGGAACTTGCTTGACTCCCTTCCCACCCACTGTTGCAGACGCCGATGGCATCCCCTGGAGCCCTGCTCCTCTGCACGCTGGTCCTCACAGTCTCCGAAGGCGGGGGTCGGGAGGCAGACGTTCCAGGCTGCCACTTGCATCGTGAGTAACTCAGGGACCAGAGGGTCAGAAGGAATGGGAGGGAGCAGAGTTGACAGACTGAGACAGTTGGATCCACACGCAGGCAGCCTCTGCAGAGGAGCATCCCTGCTTGCCTGTTTCCTTCCAGCCTTCAATGTGACAGTGCGAAGTGACCGCCAAGGCACCTGCCAGGGCTCCCATGTGGCACAGGCCTGCGTGGGCCACTGTGAGTCCAGCGCATTCCCCTCCCGGTACTCTGTGCTGGTGGCCAGTGGCTATCGGCACAACATCACCTCCATCTCTCAGTGCTGCACCATCCAAGGCCTGAAGAAGGTGAGTGGCACCTGAGCCCAGCAGGGGTGCTGGCTTGGAGGAGACAGAGGGGCTCTCAGACGGCCCAGGAGCGGGGCCAATGCGGGCTCCCTCTCCCACAGGTGAAGGTTCAGCTGCAGTGTGCGGGGAACCAGAGCAGGGAGCTAGAGCTCTTCACAGCCAGGGCCTGCCAGTGTGACATGTGTCGCCTCTCACGCTTCTAGCCACTAGGAGCTCTAGCCCTGCGGTCCACTTGCCATGGAACTGTTTAAACAAGGAGCTGCTCCAGCTCTGACCCTCTGAGTAATTCGCAATGGCCACCCGCTGAGAAGAGGGGTTTCTGCTTCTCCCTCGTCTCTGCCTGACCCTTCTATCCAGTCTCCCGTCCCTTCCCGTCCTTTTTTGTCCCTGCCCCTAAATAAAGCAAGCGGCTCTTGAGTTTCTCTCTTTATTAAGTCTATCCCCAGGCAGGAGAAGAGGATAGACTGTGATTACTGTGCCCCCCCTCGCCCCAGGACACTGTGACTCTCTTCTTGCCTGTGCCCTCACCCCTCCCTCTGCCCAATAAATAAAAAGGGGACAAGGAAGGACAGGGCGAGGGAGTGGAGGGGAGGAGGACGCCCCAGGGCCAGGACAGTGTCTGTGTTGCAGGTGAGCTGGGCAGAATAAATAGACCCCAGGCCCCACAGTGGGATGAGGAAGGACATGGTGCCCGCCCAAGGCAGGGCAGGTGAGGTGCTGCGCGCCCCAGCCCCAGGCAGGAGCAGGGGTGGAAGCCTGTCCGCCCCAGAGCCCAGCACTATGGACAGGCCAGAGCCCTGATGGCCACTTCCCGGTCCAGCCTGCCCTGGTCAAGTCTTGCCACAAGGGCCTGAGAGTTCTGCTGCCAAGACCACCATCTCGTCTTCTCGTCTCCCCAGTGCAAGCTGCCCACACTGGGCTGGCCAGGGAGTCCTCAGGGCCCACGCTGGCAAGGCCAGGGCCAGATGTGTGCCTCTTGGGCCCCTGGGCAGGAGAAGGGATGGAGGGACTAAAAGCTCTGGGCTTCGCTTCTCCCCTTCCAGGGGCTCTAGCTCTGACCCCCACTGGTGGCCACCTGCGGTGTGAGCCGGTGCAGTGGGGCCTCCCTGGCTCCCTGGGTCCCCTGTAGTCGGCGCAGCCGCAGCTCCTCCAATCCTTGCCACAGCTCCTGGCGCTCCCGGGCCTTCTGCTGCTCCCTGGGGAGAGAAGGTGAGGCAGCTCCCAAGCAGGGGACCCCAAGTCCAACCTCCCTCACCACCCCCAGCCGCTAAGGGTGAGGCTCAGAGCCACATTCTGCCCTGGAACTCTCTAGGAACTCTGTTAGCCCAGCGCTGAGGAGAGACTGCTTCAAACCTGCACACAAGCAGCACAGGAGCTGGCCTGGCTGTCGGGGAGGAAGCCACAGGGAGTCACAGCAGGGCAGTCCCTGGAGAACTAAAGGATGGAGACAGTCCCTGGCTGGAGGATGCAGTGGGAAACTGGCACAGAAGGGCCTGGAACATGCAGGACCGTGAGGGGAGCTGGGGACCTGACTGCAGACTTGGGGGAGTCCTCTCTGCCCTTCAGTCCGAGGCCCAGACTACTGCCCTTCTCCCCGGCACTCACTGCTGCTTTTCCAGCTTGTAGGAGGCCGTGAGCTCATCAAACAGCTTCCCATTCATCTCCATGAAGGTCTTGAGCACGTTGTAGATCAGAGAGACGATGGTTCTTGGCATGGTCGAGGGAGGGGTCGAGGAGATTTTTAAAGCAACGTCAATTTGGCCCCACCTCCCTCTGGCATCTGCCTGTCCCTGCTCCACACGCATCCACAGCTCTGAACTCCTCAGCACCACCGCCCCACTTCCCTCTCGGCCCCCGGCCTACCCTTTGACACTTTCTCTAACCCTCCACAGCTGGGTGGGCTTCAGGCCCATTTCTGAGGCTTAGGTCAAAACCTGGGCACTCACTGATTCCAGTGCTCCTTGGAGACTTGGTAGAGGGTCCCAAACACAGCAGGCAACACAGTGTGGCAGTTGTCCTCAATGAGGCTCAGGATATACTCATTGTTCCAGAAGTACAGAGCCCGCTCTGCAACCTGGGGCAGGAGAGATGGCACAGTGAGTGTCTGTGTGCAAGGCCTGGTGTCCAGCCCTGCTCCGAGTCACCACCTCTGCTCTGCGCACTCCAGCATGAGGGTTCACCAACCTCTGCAGGAAGTGAGGTGACAAAGAAAGATAGTTAGGGGCTGGGGATTTAGCTCAGCAGCACAGCGCCTGCCTGGCAAGCGCAAGGTCGTGAGTTCTATTCCTGGTACTGGAAAAAAAACAAAACAAAACAAAAAAAGACTGTTAGACTCCTGGATTTGGAGTCCAACACTTGGGCAAATCCTAACTCTACTACAGACACTGCCATGCCCATGTGACCTTGCACTAGGCCTTTGACCTTTCAGCCTCAGATGGTGAATCTGTAAAATGGGGCTAATAATACCTTTTTCTACTGTTTTTTTTTTTAAGAATAAAATGAGACATTGGATATTAAGCTATTTAAGAAAGTGAAATATCAAAAGTCTCTATGAGGAAGAACAGATTTCACTGTGGTTATGGTTCACATGAATAGGAGAAAGGAAGGGGTATAGCTCAGGGGTAGAGTATGTGCCTAGCATGTGAGACCCTGGGTCCAATAACCAGCATTGCAAAAAAAAAAAAAAAGGAACAAGAGGAGGAGGAGGAATGGGACAGAGTCTGTGCATACATGCAGAAAAGTGTGACCTACAGCTTGCTGGGATGTGTGGAGAAGCCTAACTAGGTCCTCGAAGGGGAATAAGGAAACGCCATCAATAAATGGGGCAAAATGATAATGGCACTCCTTCCCGTTCTAGTTCAATTAACCAGACATGTTTACAGTCCTCAACCCTTTGATTCTCATCACTACCCACTGAAGAAATAATTGGCCCATTTTACAGATGAAGAAACTTCATCACATTCAGGGTGGTGAAGTGTTTTGCCCAAGGGCCCCTAGGCAGTAAAGGCAGATGTCAGCCTGACCCCATGTGTCCTGATCCTAACCCTAGCATCTCCTCATCATCAGAGCCAGAGGATAAGCTGAGGGCAGAGAGAACTTCTGGTCAACCTTTCCAGGTACACCCACCCCACCCCACCTGTGTGCACCTCATACCTGGAAGTGGGGGCTGGAAACACAGCGAGCCACCTGCTTAAACAGGGGCTCTTGGATCTTTACAAACTGGGAAGGCTCGATGACATCAAGAATCTCTTCCATCTCCCCAAGAAACATCACCTGCAGAGGGAGGAGAGGGACCACAGCTCACATCAGCCCCAGAAACACACACACACTGCTGCCAGCCTTCGGGATGCTGAGCCCTCCCCACCTCCTCTGGTGGGCACCAGAAACCTTCCTCCTACCTCCTTCTGGGTGCAGGTTTTTGGCCAATATTTGAGCAGCCCCCGGATCACCTGTGGGATAAAGGCAGAAGGGAGTCACACCTGCAGAGCGAGGAGTCCTCCTTCCCCCCCAAGAGGTACTCACATGCTCTGTCAAGGTGGCATCCTTCTCCAGGAACTGTACCACACAGTATGCCAGCTGCAGGGGGTGGAGGAGGACTTGGGGTCAAGAGGGGACCGGGTGCCAGGTGGTTGCTCACTTACTGCCTCTCACCCCTGTGCTCCCGGCCCTGACTGCTACCTAGGAAGCACAAGCCATCTGTATAGGGTTTGGGGATGCAACGACAACTTCACAGAGAACATTCCGCAAACTAATCCTTGGCAACTTTGCAAAAGGATCCCTAATAGATTCCTATAGCCTTTGAGACTATAGAAAGAGGAGAGTTTCATTCTATCCAGGGAAGGCAGAGAGGGAAGGTCAGCCTTCAATGGCTGGTGGAAATTCTCTAAGGTGGGTGGAACAGAATGAGTAGAGATGGGAGCCTACGAGCCTCAGGCTGACCTCCTGGGCCCATTGGCAGCCCTGACTCTGGCAGGAGAACCTGCTGCAGCAGGGCCGGGCCTGGGCCTCACCTGGGCGTGAAAGACAGACAGCGACTTGACAGAATGCAGCGGGATCAGGACGCGAACCAGGAACTGCTTGTGCTCAGTCTTCAGGGGCAGCGCAAAGCCATTGATGATGCTGGGGAGGAAGCAGAAGACAGGAGCGGGGCTCAGTGACCAGGCCCCCTTCCCTCCCCACAGAATCCTGAGCTCCAGCTGAGACCCAAGGCAATCACCTTCCTAGGATCTCCAGCAGCTCCGCCACGCCATTGAAATGCTCAAGTTCATAGATGAACCTGCCAGGGAAGAAGAGAAGCAGAAGGATCACATCCGGCACCCCCAGCAGCCGTCCCAACTGTCTACCCTCACCCATCTACATATCCACCTATCCGTCTCTTTCTCTCAACTCAGCGGCCATCTCCCCAATGTCCCAAATCAGGCCTCACTGAGCTCTATGCCTTCCCCAGGATCCCCTTGTCAGCCCAGTCACCTTTGTCCTAACTCCCACCCAGCACAGCTTTTTTCATTTTTTACTTTTTCCAGTACCAGGGATCAAATTCAGGGCTGGCGCATGCTTTGCAAGTGCTTTACCACTGAACTACATCCCTGACCCTTTTTTATTTTGAGACACGGTCTTACTGAGTGGCCCAGGCTGGCCTTGAACTTGTAACGTTCCTGTCTCAGCCTCCCAAGCAGTTGGGATTACAAGTGTGTACCACTGCACCCTGCTTTTCTTCTATGGGGCGTTCCAGCTTGTCTTTTCCTCCCAGCCCATAGCACTCTACCTCATCCCCCACATCAGCAGGTACCTAGCCCATGACTTTCGCTCTCCACACACTCAACCAAAGCAGTGACAAACACTTAGTACATCTACTTCGTACCCTGTAACTCTCAAAACTCTCCTGGGAGGTAGGGCGTATTAAAGCCATTACACAAATGAGGAAGTCAAGACTCAGTGGTTAAATGACACTTGCTCCAAAGTTAATGAGTGGGGAATCTAATGGACTCCAAGCTCCTGGAGGACTCAGATCATGTCTTACCTACTTGCCTGCTAAGAACAGTAAGGGCTAAGGTTTCAGAGTCACCGCCTAGGGCCAGGATCTACAGAGCGCTTTCGAGGCGCTGCATTATTTCACCTTGGGGATGATCCCTGAATTAGTTCGGGCAGCATCCCCATTTCAAAGGTGAGGAACCCAGGAGTGTGTATGTTCACCCAAACACAGGAACCAAATCAGATGCAGGCTGATTAACACAGAACCGTGGTCTCAACTACAAGGCCACGGGGCCCCCAATGCCAGTAGGTGTTGGTACACAATTCATGCTTGCAGAAAGAATCTCTCTTTGAGGCCACAAGGATCGTAAGTCTAGATCCTAGGCTCCCCTGGACTGCCCTAGTCCCTGTAAACTACTCCAATGGCCTCCACCTCCCCATCTGTAAAATGGAAATAAACACTCGTTCTCTGCTGACTACAGGCTTTGTATAACCAATATTGTATTACAGAAAAAGAATTTGGTAAACTGCAATCCCACATGGTCCCCGCAGCCCTGGAGCCCCAATCTTTGTCTCGCCCAAACCCCTTCACCACCCCCCACTTCCCACATCTCTGCTGGCTGGACAGCAGCCAACTCACCGAAGGAAAATGTGGTTGCACTGTTTTCGGATGTAGGCCCGGAGACCCAGGAACTTGCCGTAGACCCGGTGCAAGATGGTCTTAAGGTACTCTCGCTCTCGGGGATCCTCACTATCAAACAGCTCCAGGAGCTGTGGGGCCCAGCATCAGGGGTCAGGTGAGAGGGCAACCCTAGGTTCCTTCTATCCTACTGCATGCCTTCCAAGAGGCCCGCTTGCCCTATACCCCACCCAGCGTGCGCTCCCCACATCACCATCAGGACAAACTTTTGATCCACGTATCTCTTGGCCACAGAGGGCTGGAAGTCTGGGCTTTCCAAGAAACGCAGGAAAAACTCATATACCAGCTGGGGGAGGGAGACAGACAAAAGGGTGAGTTTGGTCACAGTGTTAAGCCACTCATCCGACCCTCTGGCCCTTACCCAACAGTCTACAGGCTAAGCAAACCCTCTCCCAGGCCCTCTGATCTCTGAAGTGCAGATACCACCCACTTCCCCATCACTCTTCATACCTGCAGATGTGGCCACGAAGGCTCCAGGTTCGGCTCATCCTCTTCAGGGTCAAATTCCGGGTTCTCACTGGGGGGCAGGGTCCGGAAGATATTCACTGAGATCTGGGGGGGTGGGGAGCCTCCTTAAGAAAGATCCCTTGAAGGCAGAAACCAGAAGGGGCCCCCATCCAAAGTTCTAATGTTTTGACCTCAGCATTGGCACCAGCAAGCAGCTCATTCCTTGTTCGTTACCTGAACACCTAGGTCGTGGAAGCCCTAGGCCAGTGGCTGGGGACACAAGGATAGATGGGCCACATCTCTAAGCAGGTACAGTCCAGAGGGAAACAGGAGATTGAAAACCGTGAGGTCCCCAGGCATTCTGGGGAGGAAATGGACCTTGACAGGAACTTCATGGAAGGGGCAGCTCCAGAGCCAGGCCGTGGAGTGACCTGAGGCAGGCACCCTGGGTTTCAGTTCACCTCAGTCAAAGCACAGAAGCGGGCCGGGTGAGAAGGCCCTGAGAGGGGCGGTGGGCAACAGCGGGCTCGCAGGGAATGCAAGACTTGCTGAGATCTTTGCACAATGGTCCTGAAGTGGGCCAGTAGAGTTCACGTGTCCCTTAAGCAGCCCCCTAGAGGCTGGGCCCGGTGCTCACCATGCGGATGACGTCCGGATAGACAGGCTCGATGAGGACGCCCCGGGTGCTTCCCACACACTCCACCAGCTCGTTGAGTGCTGCCCGCTTCACCTCCTTCCCCTTCAGGTCGGCCACACAGTCCAGGAAGTCAAACATCACGCCACACTGGGCCAGCTTACGGCTCAGCAGCTCATGCAGCTCGGAGGCTGGCACATCTGGGGAGGACAAGGGACTGAACCTGGTACCATCGGCAGAGCTCTGGGCAGGGGTGGGCCTCCGAGTCCCTAAGGTAAGCTTCCCAGGCAGCCTCTGCTTCCCCAGACCCCATACTCCAGCACGATCTTTCATTCCCTGCAGACAGCAAACAACTTGGGTTCTTTCTGCTCACACCGAGGGGCTAGGAGAAGTTCCTCTCTTTCTCCCAATCCAGGTTCAAAAAGTTAAAGATTTTAAAGCAAGATCACAAGCCTGGATGTGTGGGTTTTCCCAAAACAGCCACTGCCACCCTCTCCTGGGTGGCACCTTGTACTATAAGCTAGAAGTGGAGAGAGGTTTAGTGGTGAGGGCAGGACCTACGAAGTGACCACAGGGAGCCATGCCAAGCACCAGCCCCAGGACCCACACAGCCGGCTGAGTTAATAGGGACCTCCTGAAACCCAGGCTGTGGGGCCTGCTCTTGGCCCTGGCCTGTCCCCCAGGGTGGTGCCACCATCAGATGCCCCACCTCTAGGGATGACAGGCCTGTCAGGCCATGCGTCAGCAGAGAGCTGGTGGGTTGCAGGGCAGTTCCGATGATGGAATACCTAGCCTGGAAGCACCTTGCAAACTCCCTCTGATGGATGAGTCTCACTCCACCCTCAGCCTGGCTGGCCCCTCTGCGGCACAGGCACCCTGGCAGCCAGCATCCGGCTCACCTTTGAGCAGGGGCAGTGGAGTGAGTTCTTGCTGGTTGCTCTGATAGCGAAACTGAGAGGAGCTGTGGGAGCGCCGGGGTCGGGCCCTGCGGAGGGACCGGCGGGAGAAGCCGTCCACCTTGTCCGGTGGTGGCACGGGCGACAGCCCCGGGGAGGAGGGACTGGTGGGGGTGCTCGCAGGGGGCAGCTTCGTCTCCATGGCGGGCAGGCAGCAAGTCAAGCTTTCAGAGCCCCTGGGGTTCCCTGCGGGCCTGGAGAACGCTGGGTGAGGCTGGGTGGACTAACTCGGCCCCATCCTGTCCGTTGGGGGGGGGCACAACCACAGTCCTGGGCCCCCCCCCAGGGCCTTTGGCAACTGCCCAGTCCTGGGGGGCAGGCAGGGTGGAAAGGAGATGGCTCAGGCCTCGGGTCCTTCCTGGGGTTCCAGAAGAGTGGAGCTGGGGTTCCCACTGTGGCTCTTGGAAAAGCAGTCAGAGCAGAAAGGTCAGCAGGAGAGGCAGAGACAGCGGTCAGCACTTTGCTGCAGCTGGATACCCTGCCTTCTTTTCCCTTCTACCCTCTCCAAGACCCCAAATTAGGGGTGTAGCCTTCTCCCACTGTAGGCTTCTTTCTCTCTTCTCCCAGACGACCCAGGCTCTAAAATAACCCCTTCCAAAATACGGCCTATTTCCCCAACCAGTTCTACTCAGAATGGGCACCCTATACCTCACTGCCACCCCTCATCCAAACGGGGCTGCCCTGCTCCACTAATGCCAGCCACCGCGGACTTCCAAGAACGGGCCCTGTTCCCCTACCACCCTCCTCCTTCACCTCAGCACCCTCCCCACTTCCCTGCCTCCGTTATGGCCCCCCAAACCTCAAGGTGGGGGACACTCACTTCTCAGAAACCCAGACTTTGGGTCCCTGACCCCCAGGGCTGCTCCCGGGGAGGGGGCGGCGGTTTAGGGCTCCTCCGCAGCAGTTCGGCCGCTCGGGGCGCTGGGGCTGGGCGGCGGCGCTCCTGGGTTCCCTCCCGGCCTCCGGGGGCGCTGGGGCATGCCCCCAACTCAGCCCCGGGTCGGGGACGGGCGCCAGCTGGGCTCCGGTCTGGTAAGGTCGCCACGCTCCTCCGCAGATGTCGGGGACTCGGACCCCGCGCGGCGCAGCGCGGCGCACAGGGAGCCCGGGCTCTGCGCTCACCAGCGCCCGCCGCCCAGCTGCTCAGGATGACATCAAGTCACCTCCCCCCGCCCGGCCCGCACCTCCCCACGGCCCGGAGGGGGGCGCTGCGTCAGGGAGGCCCCGGGCAGCTGGGAAATGTAGTCCCCGCCCCTCTTAAAGGCAGCAGCGGGAACGCGGCGCTCACCCCAGAGCACTGCTCCAGTATAACGGCGCGGATCTCGAAGCCGGGTCGGCCAGGCGGTATGGCGGGGATATGGGCTGCTGGACTCTGGAAGGGAGACTGCGCAAGGACAGAGGGCTCCGGAGTTCGCCCTGGGACGTGGGGGTGATGCCGGGACACTGGTGGGAAAGAGGCGCGGCACTTATGCCACCCCCACGGATTTGGCCTGAGCCATCTGTGCCCCAGGTCATTCGAGTAGTAACCCCTGCTCACCCCAGAATAGCCCAACACTTCCAGAAACTCCTAGAAAACTGGCACGTGACTAGTTAATAGTCGGCGATGAGTCAGGTCCTGCTGGGAGGACTGTGGCTCACCCAAGGCTGCTGGGAAATGCAGTCCATTCTCAGGCCTGCAGTCCCCCTCCCGTCCCTTGCTGTCTGCGGTGACATCATGGTCTCCGGTTTAAAGGGCCAGCCGTGGAGAGGCAAAGCAGGAGAGTAGAAGGTGCTTCCCTGGAGCTGCCACACACCTTTGCCCAGTCGGACTGCCCAGTTGGACCTCCCCGCTGCTCTGGCCTTGAAGGTGCTGATGCATGGTCAGGGGAAGCTCTGTGATCGACACCCTGCTGATGGCAACCCAAGGCACAGCTGGGATTGGAGGAATTTGGCATCCTGGCCCAAAGTTCCAGCCTGCAGTCCTGTGTCCCACGTCCTAGAACCTGGATCCCCAACACTCTTTATTCTCCTGAACTGCTGTGAAATCTCCACCTTGAACTTTTTTCTGGATGCAGAACTCATCCATGCTGAGCAGCAGGAGAGGGTAATGAGGTCAGGGTGGGGCCTGGGGCCCTTTTCAAAGTCGGCCCCATTCTGCTTTGGGCTTAGTGGCCACTCTGCAGCAGAGGAAACTTGGGTGCCCAAGAGGTGCCCACCTGCTTGAGCAACAGAAACCGAAGGACGGCACAGAGGGCTGTAAGTTGGTCTGGCTGTATCCCTGGAGACACGGCCACTGCTCCCTTTGCTCAGAAACCTTTAGCAGCCTTACCCCGGGGGCCTTATCTGCCAAACAGAAACCCCTTGCCCACCTCCCAGGCTCAGGAGGTGAAAAGCCTCCTGTACAACGTGGAAAGGGATGGACCCACAGAACCTTCTGCAGCCAGGCCAGGACCCTGGGGCCCAGGCAGGAGTTTCTTGCCCAAGGTCACACAGATCAAAAGCAGGGACCAAGCAGGGCTCAGTGACATGTGCCTGTAATCCCAGCACTCAGGGAGGCTGAGCCAGGAGGATAGAAAGTTCAAGCCCCACATGGGCAAGTTAGGGATGCCCTGTCTCAAAATAAAATAAATAAGCTGAGGACATAGGTCTATGGTAGAGCAACCCTGGGTTTGATCCCCAAAAATGAAGAAGAAGAAAAAACAAAACAGTGTCTCCATCCCCCACTTGGCTCCCACAGACACCTTGTGCTCTGGTCTGAAGGCCAAACTGACCAGGAGGACAGGTGCTTTGTAAGAGCAGTGCTTGGTTCAAGGAATGGGAGACAGAAGGGTGTAAGACTTCTAGAATAAACAGCACTTGTTTTGTTTATTTATTTTCATTTTAATTTTTGTCTTTTTGAGACAGTCTTGCTATGCAGTTCAGGCTGGCCTTGAGCTCACTGTGCAGCCCAGGCTGTTCTCAAACTCACAGCAATCCTCCTGCCTCAGCCTCCCGAGTGCTGGGATTACAGGCCAGCGCCACCATGGCCAGCTAATAGCACTTGTTTGGGTTGGGTTGGGTTAGGTTTTGTTTTTGCAGTGCTAAGAATCAAACCCAGGCTTGAGTGCATGCTAGGCAAGTGCTCTATCCACCATAATGGGCTACATCTCCATCCCCAGAAGTGACAACTGAACTAGGTCTCAAAATAGACAAAACTGCCAACTGGACTGGGAGAGGAGGGTTGCTAGGTTGAAATACTTTTCTCCTTTTTGTTATTTTGAGATGGGGCTGCACCGTGTAACCTAACTAGACTTGAACTCGATGATCCTCCCACCTCAACCTTTTTTTCCCCTTGAGACATGGTCTCGGTTGGCCTGGGTTGGTCTTCTGGGCTCATCTAATTCTTCTGTCTCAGCCTCCCAAGTAGCTCCACCAGCACACCAATCTCTTTTTTCACTTGTTTATTGTTGTTCTACTAAGTGAACCCAGGGCCTTTAGTCTGAGCTACAACACCAGCCTGCCCCACTCCTTTTAAATTTTGAAACAAGATTTAAATTGCTAAATTGCTAAATTGCCCAGGTTGGGCTGAAACTTGTGATCCTCCCGCTTCAGTATCCCAGTCCCATGGGTGTATTACCCTGTCAGGCTTTTTTTTTTTGAGACAGGGTTTTGCTTTACAGTTTAGGCTAACCTTGAACTCACTTTGTAGCTGAGGCTGGCCTGGAACTCACAGTGATCCTCCTGCCTCAGCCTCCCAAGTGCTGGGATTACAAGCATGTGCCACCACATCCAGCTCCCCAAATCAGGCTTTCAACATCTTTACTGAGATATCGTAGACATACAGGCAGCTGAGTTAGACAGAAGTATTATAGGCAGTCAGACAGGGCCAGGCCCTTGAAGGAGCCAGTATGGAAGACAAGATACCTTGCAAATGAAGATGTATTTGCTGTGGGCCAGACCTCAAGACAAAAGACTAAACAAATGCACCCCACATACCTCCCAAGGAATAGACATCAGGGATTGATATTCTAAATAAGTAGTGATCACCTTGAAGAGTCACTGACCCAACCCCTTACAGGAAAAGCCCCTGTTCTGTATTCATGCCCGCTTGCTAGGTGACTTGCTTCCCCATTTGATCCCATTTTAATCAGTTTTACCTGAACAATTCTTATAGCCTGACCATAAGATGTCCCACCTCATGCCCACCTTGGAATTTCCCATTCCCCCCACTTAGACCTGCCTCACCTTGTGGTTTTGCTCTATGAAAGTTCCTAGAAAAGACAGAGTCTTGGGCAATCCACTCCAGCCCAGCTTTTGTCCCTCTCTTGGACAGAAGCTTTCTTTCCCTCAATAAATATATTCTGCTGTAGGGGCTGGGGATTTAACTAAGTGGCACAGTGCCTGCGTTGCAAGCACAACGTCGTGAGTTCAATTCCCAGTACCAGAAAAAAACAAACAAAAAACCAAAACAAAACAAAACTCCCCCAAAAAAATATATATATACGTATATATATATACGTATATATATTCTGCTGTTAATCTTTGTTGTTCCTAAAATTCATTCTTCGATTTTAAAGAACATGAACTCATCCCAGATACCTTTCAGCTTGAGAGTTTCTATTTTCCTCTATCAATACCTTGTTTATTAGAGCACTTGTCTAGCATGGGAAAGATCCTGGGTTCAAGCCAGGCATGGTGGCACATGCCTGTAACTCGGGAGGCTGATGAGGCAGGAGGATCGTTTCGAGTTCTAGACCAGCCCCGCCTACAAAGTGGGCTCAAGGCCAGCCTGAAGTGCATAGAGAGACCCTGTCTCAAAACAAACAAACAAACAAACAAAACAAACAAAAGAGAGATCCTGGTGATACAGGAAAATAAAAACTCCCAACCTGAATGATATCTGGGACTGTTCTGTTCTCTAAAATCAGAGAATGAATTTTAGGAACAACGGAGGTTAGGAGCAGAGTATATTTATTGAGGGAAAGAAAGCTTCTGTCCAAGAGAGGGACAGAGGGGGGCCGAATGGGTTACCCCAAGACTCTCTTTTCTAGGGACTTTTATAGAGCAAAACCACGAGGTGAGGTGGGTCCAAGGTAGGGGAAAAAATAGACAAAACTATGGTCAGCCAATAAGAATTGTTCAGGTAAAATTGATTAAATTGGGATCAAATGGGGAAGCCAGTCACATAGTAAGCGGGCATGAATACAGAACAGGGCTTTTCCTGTAAGGGGTTGGGTCAAGGACTCTTCAAAGTAATTGCTACCTATTTAGAATATCAATCCCTGATGTCCATCCCTTGGGAGGTATGTGGGGTGCATTTGTTTAGTCCTTTGTCTTAAGGTCCAGCCCACAGCAAATACGTATCTTCACGTTGGCTCCTTCGAGGGCCTGGCCATCTGACTGTCTATAATATTTCTATCTAACTCAGCTGCCTATAACACTGGGTTCAATCTCTGACACCACAAAAACAAAAATATCTACACAGACTTACCTTAAAATTCACTCGTTTGAGAGTTGTTTAATGAGTTTATCGTTTCAGTTTTGCAAGATCAAAAGATCCAAGGATGGGTTGCACAGCATTGTGAGTATACTTGAAAGTGTACACTTGTACACATGAAAATGGTATTAATGTGGTAAAATTTGTTATGTGTAACATGATGCATTACAGCATATTTCCATCATTGCGTGCACTGAGACATCCTCGAAACAAAAACTGAGAACAAGTTTAACCCATTTTAGTTACACAGTTCAACAGTTTTTTGTTTTTCAGTACCAGGGAGTAAACCCTGGGCCTTTAGGAACTTCTCACTAAATTACATCTCTAGCCCTTTTGTATTTATTATTTCAAAACAGGTTTCAGTAAGTCACTAAGTTGCCCAGGGTAGACCCAAACTTGTATCCTCCTGCCTCAGCTTCCTACAGAGCTAGGATTACAGGTGTGTGCCACCACACACCACACCCAGCTCAGTGTTCTCAAAATTCTTCTAAGTGACCTTTCTATTTTGGGTGTGCCCGGATCTCACTGTACTCCTGACTGCCCCAGGCTACTCTCCTGGAGCTCCTTTGGCCTGAACACCTTGTTCCTTGGCATCTTCCTGGAAACTTACTCTAGCTCCATCCTTGGGAGCTGTCTTGTCCAGGAAAGCCCTACCCCTCAGATAAGATACAGGTCATTAGCTAGGCTTTGTAGTGCATACCTGTAATTCCAGCAGTCTGGGAGACTCAGGCTGGAACCTCAAAAATTCTAGCCCAGGCCAGGCGTGGTGGTTCATGCCTGTAATCCCAGCACTCAGGAGGCTGAGGCAGGAGGATCGTTGTGAGTTGAAGGCCAGCCTGGGCCACAAAGTGAGCTCAAGGTCAGCCTGAACTGCATAGCAAGACCCTGTCTCAAAAAAAAAAAAAAAAAATTTGAAAAAATTGAAAAAAAGAATCCAGCCCAGGCTGGATGTGGTGGTGCACGCCTATAATCCCAGCACTCCAGAGGCTGAGGCAGGAGGATGGTTGCGAGTTTGAGGCCAGCCTGGGCCACAAAGTGAACTCAAGGCCAACCCCAACTGCACAGCAAGACTGTGTCAAAAAGACAAAAAAAAAAAAAAGTTTTAGATATCTCTGCAATTTAGTGATTTAGTGAGACCCTGTCTCAAAATTTTTTGCAAAGGAATGAAGGGGCTAGGGATGTAGTTCAGTGCAAAAGCCTTGGGTTTAACCTGCAATACCAGCGGAGAAAAAAAAACAGGCCTGCAAGGACCAAGTCAAAAGCTATAGTCCCTAGGCCACCTCTGTGATCCCTTCCATACCCACTTGATCCCTCAAAAAAATTCCCTGGAGGAGCGTGGCCCATGCCTTGGCGGAAAGGAAAGACTCTCGGAAGTCCACAGCACAGTTTGCCTGATGAGTTGCCACCCACTTTAAAATGCCTCCCAACCCCTAGAAGCCACTTCTGGGCACTGCTTGCCTTTTCCTGCCTCTCTGGGGATCCAGGCCTCCAGGAGCAATCCCCCCAGGGCAGTATCCAGGCCCAGGGTATTTGTTAAGACTGCTGGGCCTGCCAGACATGGTAGTGCACACCTGTACTCCTGAGTTGGGACAGAAGAAGTAAAACTAGGTAGAAAGGACACAAGGAAATTGAAACTTTAGCCGGGCGTGGTGGCGCATATCTGTAATCCCAGCATTCGGGAGGCTGAGGAAGGAGGATTATTGTGAGTTCGAGGCCAGCCTGGGCTACAAAGTGAGATCAAGGCTAGCCTGAACTGCATAGCGAGACCCTGTCTCAGAAAAACAAACAAACGGGGCTGGGGATTTAGCTCAGCGGCAAAAGCACCTGCCTGGCAAGCGCAAGGTCGTGAGTTCAGTTCCCAGTACCGGAGAAAAACCAAAAAATAAAAATAAAAAAAAAAAAGAAAAACAAACAAACAAAACCAAATAAATAAAAACTGCAGCTTCAGAATACAAACATGGTTTATTTACTTTTTTTTCCTTCTTCCAAAACAGCAAAGCTGAGCCACTCCCTTTCAGCTGCAAAAGGGTCTGACGGTAGGCCATCCTCTTCCACCCTCTAAGACTAAAACTAAAGTTTATCAAAGTCCACAGATGTCCACCTCCGGAAATACATGGAAGATCCCCAGTTACCAAATACATTGTCCCTCATTTCTCTGCCCACTTGCACTCTACTCCTTTTTTTTTTTTTGGTCTCTTTTTTCAGACAGGGTCTCGCTATGCAGTTCAGACTGGCCTTGAGCTCACTTTGTAACCTAGGCTGGTCTCAAACTAGCAACAATCCTCCTGCCTCAGCCTCCCACCTCCCACGTGCTGAGATTACAGGTGTTCGCCACCAGGCCCAGCCTCATATAGCTACCTCTAATGACTCTTCCTCATGCCTCTTTTATTGGCACATCCTGAAAATTCTTTTTCAGTGACAGGAGTCCATGAACGTGCACACTTATGTTAAAGGGGTTAAATTCCTTATTTCAGCCCTGGGGACCCTTAGACCCAACCTGTGACAATCCCGGCCAGTGGGAGGCTGATCCAGGAGGATCGCCATGAACTTGAGGCCAGCCTGGGCTACATAGTGAGTTCAAGACCAGCCTGGATTACACAGCAAAACCCTGTCTCAAAACAACAGAAACAAACAAACAAACAAATCATTGGGCCTGAAGCTAGGCCTGGGACTGCATCCCAGAAATACCCCAGTGGGGACCCAAGGCCATCCTCGCTCCCAAGAAACTGTGGTCCTCCTCACTCTGCAACATTGTGTATTCACTCATTGGGCTTGGTTTCCTGGTTGTGGGGGGAGTTGATTTCCCAAGAAACCTGTGGTGATTTATCTGTGGAAGGTATCAGAAGGGCCTCTGCGTCCCTCACAGCTCTGCTGTAGCATACACTGCACTGCGAATACCTGAATACCTGATGCAGATGTGGATGCCCCACCAAGTTCTAAGAGAAAGCTGTGGGTGTTGTCTGACCCTGATGTCCACCTCCATCTGACCCTGTTGTCCACCTCCCTCAGGAAAATAGGCTTGGGAGGTGGCCACCTCAGAACACCTGGGCCCAGCCTTTGTCCATAGTGCACCCTCTTCCCACAGAAGGGGAGTGGTCACCCTCTCTGAGACTGGCCATTTTACCTGGATTCTAGGAGATACTCCCCTCTACTACTGCTGCTTTGGGAAGGGAAAGTGCAGTGACCTGCTGCACGGACCCTTGGGTGCACAGCCTCAGGTTCCTTCCCTCAGATGGGAACACTAACAGTGCCTCTACCCGCCTCATGAGCTCAGGGAGAGCAGAAGAAGCAGCACACATTCATAACAAACCCAGGCTGGGCTTGGTGGCACATGCCTGTAATCCCAGCACTTGGGAGGCTGAGGCAGAAGGATCGTTGTGAGTTTGAGACCAGCCTGGTCTACAAAGTGAGCTCAAGGCCAGCCTGAACTGCATAGGAGACCCTGTCTCAAAAAGGCAAAAAAAAAAACCAAAAACAAAAACCAAAAACAAACCCAGGACAAAAGACAACACATAAGGCAACTCATGGTATCTTTTTCTCTTTTTTCTTTTCTTTGTGTGTGTGTAGGCAGTACTGAACCCAGGTGTGCTCTACCACTGAGCTACAACCTCAGCTCTTTTTGTTTTATTGCTGTGAGATAGGGTCCCACTAAGTTGCCCAGGTTGGTCTCAAACTTGCAGTTCTCCTGCCTCAGGCTCCCAAGTCGCTGGAGGCCCTCATATCAGCCTGCCTCCCTGCATAGGACCTTGTCACTGTTTCCTGAGTCCTCTGGGGTGCAGACCCTTTCAGGTACAGAATGAGTGGTCCTGCCTAATCCTAAAGTTACGTGGGATAAAACAGGTTGTCAGAGTGGTGACTTGTCTGAGGCCACCCAGAACTCAGACTGGAATCCAGCTACCTATTCGCTCTGGGCCAGGGCCAGGTTGCCCATGTTTCAAAGTGACTTTTGACATTAGACTGAAATAGAGTCCAACTCCTCAGGAAAGCGAGAATAGAATCACATTTACTCGTAGACGGCCCTTAGGTCTCCCACAGTGTAAGAGGCTTTGTGGCCAATGCTGTAGAGCAGGGCTTGGCAAATTTTTTCGATAAAGGGTGAGAAAATACATATTTTAGGCTTACTGGCTCCTGCCTTCAGTACTCAACTCTGACACTGCAGCAAAAAACAAACAAAAAACCCAGACCTACACGGTCTTTTTAACCAGCAAGCAAGGCTATATCTCACCGAAACTGTGTTTATGGATACTGAAATGTGAACGTCATATGATTTTTCATATGTCATGAAATGTTAATTCTTCTTTTGATTTTTTTCAACTTTTTTTTTTCAGCACTGGGGACTAAATCCAGAGCCTTTGCACTGAGCTACATACCCAGCCCTTTTTAAAAAAATTTTTTTAATTTTTTTTTTTGTCTTTTTGAGACAGGGTCCCACTGTGCAGTTCAGGCTGGGCTTGAGCTCACTTTGTACCCCAAACTGGCCTGGAACTCCCCACAATCCTCCTGCCTTAGCCTCCTGAGTGCTGGAATCACAGGCCTGCGCCACCGCACCCAGCCCAGCCCTTTTTTATTTTTTTAAATTTTTAAAATTTTTGGTCTTTTTGAGACAAGGTCTC